GTTCTAACAATAAGACTCGCGTCCTTGTATTGTTGTATATTGCAAATATTTTGATAAACATTTTATTAAGGCTAAAATACACAAAGTAAGAAAAAGCCCCTGTGTTAGTCACATCCGGCTATTACAACACCTATATGTTAACAATTTAATCTAAGTACCACGCCATATCCTATTTAAGCTTTGATTTGCACATTGAGAAAGTGGTAGGGTGACCAACCCACTTTTATATCAGTTCCGATATATCTTTGTTTGGAATGCGGAGGATGTTGTAAGGACTGATGTGGTGTCGATTTGAGATCTTACTTCCTTAGCAACTGATTTGAAAGTCGAGGCGGAAATTGGTTACCGGAAACCGTTGTTTAGACGATTGCGACCGGATCTTATTCCAAAAAAAATTTAACATTAAATTGAGTGCTATCATTCTTATGGAGAAGGATTGAAGCTAGAGATGTTATAAACTAGTATTGTTGGAGAACAGGTACAATATGTTCCTGTTCCTAAAAAGTGATAGTTCCAAATATGTACCTGGTACAACTGTTCCTCAGGTCTTAGGGTCCATTACTACCATCTTTTAGTTAAATTTATCAAAAAGATAAACCCATCTAGTAGCCAATCAGAGCGCGTAAAATAGCCGTAACCGCGGTAATAATCCCTTAGATAGCTTAACCAGATGATGGTAGTAACGAGCCTTAATAGGTAATATAGCATAAATCCCCAAAATGTCAAAATAGGATATCTCTTCTTAATAAAATTAACTATAACGTAAGTATTAAAACTGATGTACATTATGAATATTCCTAACGCATCAAAAAATCATAATCCATAATTATTTCATATTTATCTATCACCAGTTTCTAGTGATATAGCATAAATCACATTGGACGAACTGTCTTAATAAAATCAATTATAATGTAAGTACTAAAACTGATGGAGAAAGACATTATAGATAAAAAATATTTCTAACTCGTAATCCATAATTATTTTATATTTATCTATCACCAGTTTCCAGTGATATTGCATAAATCACAAAATGTCAAAATTGAACAATTTTTCTTAATAAACTTAACTATAACGTAAGTACTAAATATGATGGAGAAGGACGTTATGGATAAGAATATTCCTAATGCATCAGGAAATCATAATCCGTAATTATTTCGTATTTATCTATCACCAGTTTCTAGTGATATAGCATAAATCATAAAATGTTAAAATTGGACGATTTTTCATAATTAAATTTAAGTATAACGCAAGTACTAAAACTAATGGAGAAAGACGTTATGGATAAAATATATTCTAAATGCACCGAGGAATCATAATCCATAATTATTTCGTATTTATCTATCACCAGTTTCTAGTGATATTGCATAAATCAGAAAATGTTAAAGTTGGACGATTTTTCTTAATAAAATCAATTACAACGTAAATACAATTAAAACTGGTGGAGAAAGACGTCATGGATAAAAAATATTCTTAATGCATTAAGAAATCGTATTCCATAATTATTTCATATTTATCTATCACCAGTTTCTAGTGATAAAGCATAAATCACAAAATGTCAAAATTGGAAGATTGTTCTTAATAAAATTAGCTATAATAAAAGTACTAAAACTAATGGAGAAAGACATTATGGATAAAATATATTCTAAATACACCAAGAAATCATAATCCATAATTATTTCGTATTTATCTATCACCAGTTTCTAGTGATAATAAAAAAGTGTAAAAAGTGTAAAAATTGAACGATTTTTCTTAATAAAATTAACTATGTATAACGTAAGTACTAAAATTAATAGAGAAAGACGTTATAGATAAAAAATATTCTTAATGCATCAAGGAATCATAATCCATAATAACTTCATGTTTATCTATCACCAGTTTCAAGTAATATGGCATAAATCACAAAATGTCAAAATTTTACGATTTTTCTTAATACAATTAACTATAACGCAAGTATTAAAACTGATGGATAAGGCCATTATGGATAAAAAAAATCCTAAATCATAATCCATAGTTATTTCATATTTATCTATCACCAGTTTCTAGCAATATAGCATAAATCACAAAATGTCCAAATTGAACAATTTTTCTTAATAAATTAACTGTAACGTAAATATTAAAAGTAACGGAAAAAGACATTATGGATAAAAGTATTCCTAATACATCAAGAAATCATAATCCATAATTATTTCATATTTATCTATCACCAGTTTCCAGTGATATAGCATAAATCACAAAATGTCAAAATTGGACGATTTTTCATAATAAAATTAACTATAACGCAAGTACTAACACTAATGGAGAAAGACGTTATGGATAAAATATATTCTAAATGCACCAAGGAATCATAATCCATAATTATTTCGTATTTATCTATCACCAGTTTTCTAGTGATATAGCATAAACCACAAAATGTCAAAATTGGATCATTTTTCTTAATAAAATTAACTATAACGCAAGTACTAAAACTAATGGAGGAAGATGTTATGGATAAAATATATTCTAAATGCACCAAGGGATTATAATCCATAATTGTTTCGTATTTATCTATCACCAGTTTCTAGTGATATTGCATAAATCAGAAAATGTTAAAATTGGACGATTTTCCTTAATAAAATCAATTACGTAAAATGTAAATACAATTAAAACTGGTGGAGAAAGACGTCATAGATAAAAAATATTCTTATTGCATTAAGAAATCGTAATCCATAATTATTTCATATTTATCTATCAGCAGTTTCTAGTGATAAAGCATAAATCACAAAATGTCAAAATTAAACGATTTTTCTCAATAAAATTAACAAAAACGTAAGTACTAAATGTGATGGAGAAGGACGTTATGGATAAAAATATTCCTAATACATCAGGATATAATAATCCATAATTATTTCATATTTATCTATCACCAGTTTCTAGTGATATAGCATAAATCACAAAATGTCAAAATTAAACAATTTTTCTCAATAAAATTAACAATGACGTAAATACTAAAAGTGATGGAGAAGGATGTTATGGATAAAAGTATTCCTAATGCATCAGGAAATAATAATCCATAATTATGTCATATTTATCTATCACCAGTTTCTAGTGATATAGCATAAATCATAAAATGTAAAAATTAAACGTTTTTTCTCAATAAAATTAACAATAACGTAAGTACTAAAAGTGATGGTGAAGGACGTTATGGATAAAAGTATTCATAATGCATCAGGAAATAATAATCCATAATTATTTCATATTTATCTATCACCAGTTTCTAGTGATGTAGCATAAATCATAAAGTGTAAAAATTGAACGATTTTTCTTAATAAAATTAACTTTGTATAACGTAAGTACTAAAATTAATGGAGAAAGACGTTATGGATAAAAAATATTCTTAATGCATCAGGGAATCATAATCCATAATTATTTCATATTTATCTATCACCAGTTTCTACTGAAATAGCATAAATCACAAAATGTCAAAATTAAACGATTTTTCTCAATAAAATTAAATATATCGTAAGTACTAAAAGTGATGGAGAAGGACGTTATGGATAGAAGTATTCCTAATGCATCAGGAAATAATAATCCATAATTATTTCATATTTATCTATCACCAGTTTCTAGTGATATAGCATAAATCATAAAGTGTAAAAATTGAACGGTTTTTCTTAATAAAATTAACTATGTATAACGTAAGTACTAAAATTAATAGAGAAAGACGTTATAGATAAAAAATATTCTTAATGCATCAAGGAATCATAATCCATAATAACTTCATGTTTATCTATCATCAGTTTCTAGTGATATAGCATAAATCACAGAATGTCAAAATTGGAAGATTTTTCTTAATAAAATTAGCTATAATAAAAGTACTAAAACTAATGGAGAAAGACATTATGGATAAAATATATTCTAAATGCACCAAGGAATCATAATCCATAATTATTTCGTATTTATCTATCACCAGTTTCTAGTGATAAAGCATAAATCACAAAATGTCAAAATTAAACGATTTTTCTCAATAAAATTAAATATAACGTAAGTACTAAAAGTGATGGAGAAGGACGTTATGGATAAAAGTATTCCTAATGCATCAGGAAATAATAATCTATAATTATTTCATATTTATCTATCACCAGTTTCTAGTGATATAGCACAAATCATAAAATGTCAAAATTGGACGATTTTTCTTAATAAAATTAACTATAGCTGATGGATAAAGACGTTATGAGTAAAAAATATTTATTGAAAAGGAATCGTTAAAGTTTATAAAACTAGCATTTAGTACCTATTATTTTTTTAAACTTAGTAACTGTTCCAAAGAACAACGTATAAATACTTATTTCAAAGTAAGACACAAGTATCAGTTAACACCTCTAGTAGTTGATGCCAATAAAATTACGCCACCCTCAGCAAAGCAATCACTACGCAATCGAAATAAAATCCTTAATTGTTGCTCGCATTTTGGTTCATTTTCTTTGAAGAAACGTGTCTTCTCAAAAAATAAAAAAAATATATTTTATACTTTTATTTTAATGCTTTTTATCGTATAAAACATATCGATCATTTCACAATCGCCAGATGCGTTTTACGTAAATTAAACACTCCGGCGACTTGGTAAATTCCAGTGCAGCATCGTTTTCCGATAACGGACAAAAATACGACCGGGAATGTGTTTACCAAGAAAAAAGATGCACGAGAATTTCACGCGAAAAAAATTAATGATTGTACTCAATAATGTGTATTAAATCTAAAGCTTTTTGAACGAGTAGAAAGAGAGAGAGCGAAACGAAGTGAATTTATCGCGAATAAAACGGACGAGTAAATATCATCATATGACCTGGGGAGAGATACCACGCGTTATTTTGATACGTTGTATAAATAAACTCTCCAAGTTTTATTTTATTTTTCATTCCAAGTGGAAATAAAAAAAAATAACAAAATAATACAAAACATGACGTTTTAATGATTATTTTGTTCTTGATTTGATCTTTCTAATAATTTAAATTTTGTTACAGCGAAAAATTATTCCACTTCAACAATGAACAAGTCAGAGTGGTGTTATTCCGTGAATGCGACTTCAGAGGTAGAAAATTGTTGTTTGATTCCCAAGCGGTTGATAAAGTCCCATTGGGTCCACAACAAAATGGATACACCACGCAGACGATTTCCCTCACGGACGAAGAGAAAAAAGCGAAATTCGCCGAAATATCCAACGGACATGGATACTCGGTTTGTTGCTTGATCTTCGACCAAGGTCCAGAAAGGGACTTTTTCAATACTAATTGTTCCTGTTTAGTACGCGAAACCTCACTCGGACGTTCAACAACTCGGCGAGATGATCTTCGGCTCGGTCGCCATGAGTTATCGGGGAACTTCCTACAAAATCCATAGTCTCAATTCACCGGCGAGTATCATGTGCACCCAGGTTTTTCCTTGTCCACGACCGTCCCATACCGTTAAAAATCTGAGGAATTCCGCGCCCGGAAGGACTTGTATTGAAAATGGGACAGCTTCTTTACATAATCTTGATCATTCCATTAGGTTAGAAGATTCGAGCACCAGTTGTACTACTTCGTTTAGTGATCAATCTGTTCATAGCACTGCTTCAGATACTTTATTAGGTAATGCAACACAAAAACGTATTTGATTTTATAAATGATAATTTGAATTAATTTACTAGTTTGTAGAAGGACACGTAGTTCACCACTGGATGTTCCAAATCTTGGATGCACTGCCGGTTCAACCATTCCAAATACTAGCTTGATTGGGGATTCTGGTTTTTGTGGAGCTCAATCTTTCGAGGGTCCTAAATCTGTTCCAATGTGGAGTTTACCAAAAAATGGTAATCTATTTAATATTAATACAAAGTTTTTATCGAAAAAATTAGATTATTTAAACTTCGATTGTGCTCTAAAACGGTCGATTTTTCTGCCCCGTGATAAGATTTTAAAGTGTGTTTTTATCCTTTAAGGATCCGTAATAGTAACTTGTCAGTGCTATATCAGTTCTATAACAGTGATAGCTGGACTTCTCAATGATGTCTGTGCCATATACGCATGCAGGGTATTACATTTTCGCACGCAAGAACAAATCTGGGTTGCTCTTGGTGGATATTTAATTAAAATTGGATCTTATACTATCAATACAGAATAGATGTAAGTCCCGGCAGTTAATTACTGGATTAACTGTGGGAGACGATGTTCTGCAGAATTCTTGGATAATGCGTTGCTGTCGGCAAAGAAATCTTTGATTTTGACGCGAAAAGCAGGCATGATCTAATGTAAGTTAACAATTACTGATCACTAATCTCGAAGGATCGTTTTGTGCCTTTTAATTCCGAACTTCTAAGTTTGGGCTTCATGGCGTTAGTATTGTTCAAGATGTTTATAAATACAGAGTTTTCAGTAGTGGTCATAATTTTGGATGACGAAGACCAGCTGTTACACCAGATAAAGCTTTGTAGCTTTGCACAAGAAATTTATCCCAGGATTGTCTGAGAATTAATTCAACTTTTTGCTAAATAAGATAGAAGTAAACTTTTTACTTCGTACGATTAATACAATACGTATTGAGGGACGGATATTACTTTTAAAAAATGGCTGGCAATTTCTTTAAGGTAAGTAAAATGATAATTGTTTCTACTTGGAATAAGTTTTGTTATTCACAAGTGATCCAAATAAACTTAATTGTAATATTTGTAATATTGTTAAGCTTTACATGAGAAATTTGAAATGTAATAACATTCTAGAATTGTTATATTTTTAAGTATAATAAATGTTAGTTCTATCATGAGTCTAGTTACAAGAATATCGTAAAAAACATTTCGTTTAGCTAGTTTAGATGGGGCATGATAGGTGGGCCAAATTGGGCACTTTTAAAGGGAAACTCCTATTTCTATAAGAGATAGAGGGAAAATGATATCAGTTTATAAGAAACTTAATGGCGAAAACCGCATATCAATATCTTTTACGATTTCAGAGATACAGGGTGTTTTTCAAAAAAGTGCATTTTCGAAAAGTCGTCATAACTTTCTTCTTATTGGTAAATCTTTCCTTCTGTGAAAACATTTCCAAAGTAACTTTTTATGTATAATTCGATGGAATAAGTTACCTTTCCCTCAAAGCAATGTTTTAGCAGTCATTGACAAAAATAATTTTTTTTTAATGGAATACCCTATATATTTTTGCAAATTCGACGAGTGCATAAAATTTCCTTTCCAAGAATATAGCACACTTGATATTTCGTTCAAGTGTTCTTTGAAATAATATAACTTTAAAACATATGTGCAGTTTTTGAAAAAGTAGGCTTTGGAAATAAAAGAAAAACGAGATTATATTTATAAATAGTATCAAGACAGTTGGTTAGAATGAATTAAAACATAAATTCATAAACAAGAAGCGGATTAAATTAATAAAACTTATTATAAAACAAGAATAAATATGTGGCAACAAATAACAACAAAAATAAACCCCTTTTCTATAGAAAATGTTCAAAATGATTTGTGTTATACACAGTTGACATCTTTTTTTTAGCCCTTTTTGCCGAGTTGATAAGCTCAATGGACCTAAGTGTTGCAAAAGCGTTTACAACTGCGGCTTCTAATTACTGTCTTTCAATCTTCCCTAAAGGAAAAAATCTATAGGTGTTAGGTCCGGTGACCGAGCCGCCCAACGAATAGAACCTTGATTACCTAACCAATAATAACCAAAAGCTGCGGTCAATAAATTGGTGACAATAGTAGCCATCGCATAGGTGCGCCATCATGTTGAAAAAATACATTTCGCAGCGGTCAAGAAATCGTCAACAACAGGTTCGATTTGTTGCCTAAATATGTTCAAATATTTTATTTGTGCTGTGCACCAGGACTACTCACATACGCTTCATCTGCCCAAATACAATTTAAAGAAAAATTGTGTTCTTCGTCACATTTTCCCAAGAACCATTGGCAAAAATTTATGCGCCGTTCAAAATTTCCTGGTCTGAGGTAATTTGAGACTTTGCTTGTTCTGTATGGCTCAAATCTGAATTTTTTAAAATCTGCCCAGCTTTGGTTTTTGGAATTCCCGTGGTTACACTCAATTGCCTCGTTGATATCTGTGGATTATTGTCGATTGCCTCTAAAACTATTACTTCTTCTAATTCCCCGTCTTCATTCGGTGTATAAGTTTTTGATTTTTTCTTTTCGAATTGACCGCTAGTTTGTAGATTATATCATAATTTTCTAAAAATATCATTAAAAGGTTGTCGTCTCTCTGGATATCGTTCATAATATAACTTTCCTGCAGCCTCTGCATTCCCCCAGATTGTATAAAACAAACTATCGTGTGCCATTTTTCATAATTTTTATGACATTATTTTGAAAATTGATGACAACTAAGTAATACTCTAACGATAAGCACTAACATTTATAACTTGAATCAAAATTTAACAGATAGATGCTCATAAATCGCATTTGTTTTATCGAAGCGCCGTCAAAGAAGAGATATCGATATGCGGTTTTCGCCATTAAGTTTCTTATAAAAGTCGAGCCTCAGACAGTGATATCATTTTTTCTCTATCTTTTATAGAAAGAGGCGATTCCCTTTAAAAGAATCCAATTTGGCAAACCCTGTACAGAAAACTGTCGTAGGCAAATGAAGGATCACAACTGATTATCTATCTATAAGCGAAATATTGTCAACTCTTGCAGTAGAGATATGATTAATACACAAGAAACTTTTTTTTTTACTTTTGTACAGCGATGATACGGGATCCTCAAGCTCGTACGTTTTTTCAATTTTTTGTGCTTTATTTGAAATTATGAAAAAAATCTAAAATAAGAGTAAAAAAGCATACAAAGATATATTACAAAAGTAGATAAGGTGTAAAAATATTTACCAACACTTTTTCGGGATTTTTGACTTTTCTGTCGCCATTCATTTACTGCATTGTGTAACATAATGTTCGTACTATACGCAGATTATTAATAAGGATTAACAACGATGGTACATGTATTACAGTACAAGTATACAGGATGGTCCATTTAACGTGAGACTCAAAAACGGCTCATTTTACATAAAAATGAACCAAATGAAAGTTGTTCTGTGCGAAGGGGAAAACCATATGACGATAATATTTTTTGACCTTGATCTTATTTGTAAGGTTATATGAAGGTCACGACCAATTTTTTAAATGGCACCCTATATATTTTATTGTAAAATCTGAATCTGTGGATAAAAGTAAAGTAATTAAAAAAAATAAATAAATAAAAAGATTTTACTGTGTGGTTTTGCCAGACAATGGCAAAACAACTTTTGAAAAAAATTGTAACTTCTTCAGAAACAATTAATTAACGTTTATAATCTAGCAAGAACAAATAAGATTTATGAATTTTTAAACATATCGCTTTCAGAGACTTAATTGGTTGAATTGTTTTAAAATGTAACAGGTAAAACTAAATTTGCGTAAAAACTGCTTGGCAACAAATTCTGAATTCATTCCATCGTTTTACATTAAGGCAAAGTATTTAAAGTAAGTCATTAAATCATAGAGTGTGTCTAAGTGTGGCAGAAAGAGTCGAAATGATTTTGACACTTCCTGTTTAACGGTCTCTTGCAGCTGCACGCGTCTTTTGCAATCGATCTTTAATCGTTTTCTGTTTTGTTTTTATAAAGAACGTTTTAGTAGAAGGGTTAATAAATGTATTGAAGTGGGTGGGGAAATATTTGAACATTTATTATAAATTTTATACTTGTTGTTGATTAATAGTATAGTTTAATCATTTTTTATAAATAAACAATAGTTAAAACTATTTGAATTAAAAAATTATTTAGATTTTGTCTACAAAAGATGTTTCGCCGTCATACTGGCAAAACCACAGTAATTTTTTTTTTAATTATTTTACTTTTATCCATAGATTCAGATTTTGCAATCATAAACATAGGGTGCCATCTAAAAAATTGGTCGTGACCTTCATATGTCCTTGAAAATAAGGTCAAGATCAAAAAATGATATCGTCGTATGGTTTTCCCCTTCGCACAGAACAACTTTCGTTTTACATAAAAATGAACCGTTTTCAAGATAATCGCTTGTCTCACGTTNGTGTCGGTTATAAACATAGGGCTACCTGAAACTACAAAAAGCTTACCGTTAGCTTACATACAAATTGGAATCTTTTAAGTTAAGTTTTTCAACTAAAATCAGTTTTCTTTTTCTTCGTTTACTTTCGTTTTTCTTACTAATTTACTCTTAATTCAACCCCTTATTCTTTTCCCCACCTCATCAATCATATTGTTTCAAGATCAATTTAATATATCTTGTCAATGAAATCAATGATATTCTTGGATGTTTATGCATTCCTCTTTTACCATTGAGAATATATAGGCGATATTTGTTATCGAATATATTATATAGTATGTATACAATGATGTTGATGATGCTTACTGCAAATGGGAACTCTAATTAGAGAGAAAGCTAAAGAATTTGGTGTTGCTTTGGGCCGGTACCATTTTTTAGGTAGCCAGAATGGTTAAATTAACTTATGAATAGGCATAATCTACAATGTTGCGAAAACTGGCAAAAAATGTCTTAGCAGATGACACAGCACTTACTTCAAATATATGCTTGACAGAACAATGTCATTAAAGGTAGAATTCTGTAACAGACGGCAAACTGCAGGCGACACTTTAATACATATCATCACCTGAGAATTACTTTGAACCAAGTCTCTTACGTCTACAAAGCAGTAATTTGGATTTAAACCTTAGCAGATCGTTTTTCTTTCGTGATTGGGACTACAGGCTATGTCTAAATTCATGTTAAGATTAGTAGTTAGTAGTATCAAGTCCTATGTCACGTGGTTGC